GTGAGGAACCTTAAACCGTCTGCTGGCCGTTCAGGATCGTTCTAACCTCGCCACACTCGAGCGGCATGTCTAACAATAGCAGCCCCCCCCCACACACACACACACAAAACGTGTCTCCTCATATTACATGTCGAGTCCTTGGTTTGTGTCACCGTGGCAACACGTCCACTGATGTACAGATCCATATTATTAAAGCGGGGCTGCACAACATTTTTCTTATTCCAGAGGATCATCTGAAGAGGAAAATATTAAACGGAAACATGGACACGACTCGCGTCTGACGTCATGACACCGTATATCTAAAAAGAAAAATACTTTTCTGTTCTGCTTTAAAGGTGCATTATTGAAGTTTGACAGCCAAAGCATGTATAGAAATAATAAATGTCTTCTTCATACATTCTCCTGCAACGCCCTGGTCCTGTAGAATGAGCCCTGGCATTTTTACTGTGATTGCCTGTTTTTCTTTAAAATTACAGAAAAAGAGAGATGCTCGGGTCGAGCAGGCTGCTTCATGCGCGTTCACGCTCAGGCATCGCCCGTAGCATTTGCTATCGATAGCTTTAGCAGCAGAGAGAGAGGCAGTGCCACTTTGTCGCTGTTCCTAACGCCTAGTGACAAAGCTAGCTACATTTCTGAGGACCCTTAGCTACTTTCTTCTAGATATTTCCTGCAAATTAGCAACAAAATAGCCATTTTTGCTCCGAACCGTTCTTTGACGTTGTTTCAGCTGTCATCAAGGATATAAAAGTTACAGATGCTGTGAATGTTACTAGAGTGTAGCTCACCTTGTAAGATGTCTGACTCTCATGCAGAAGACCTGGGTTTGATTCTGGATGTGAACATAGTTTATTTAGTTTCTTTTTTACATTAATGGTATAATTTTTTACAGTAAAATGCCCAAATTTTTATTTGAGACTCGCCGAACGGCATTGAATTCACAGATAAAAAAGATGTGGGTTCAAATTTCATTTTGGAACAAATTTTCAAGCAAGGGAAGGGAATGATCTGAGCATGCAGGAGGACTGACCCATCATAAACCTTTGTCTGCTGTGCTGAAGAGAAAGGTACAGAACCAAATTATTTAAATAATTAGCTGCGCGTTCTCCTGTCCTCTGTCTTCCGCCCCCCCCCCCCACCCCCACCCACCCACACACACACACACACACAAGGGACTGTCTCAGCTGTTATTTTCGTTAAGGAGTGTGCACGTACAGCATGCGCGCCTTGTGCACGAGCCTACTATTGAAGCTGCCATTATGCTTTTGGCCTGAGGGGGCAATCGCGAGCATAAAAATTCAAAAGTCTGTAAAGTCCCTTTAATGATAATATTAATAATTTGTGGATGGTTGTCGGCTCTAGGGAAATATTTTAGGCCAGTTTTCCCAGCTTCTACACGTCGGTAGCCTATTTAGCATCTTTGCTTTTGTAGTAGCATTGAACATATGTTTCCTAAGAAACTTCCTTTATGATGAAATATTTTACATTTCACCAGGCAAAGCCAGGTTCTACCTGTTACTAATGAAGACATTAGGCCTTTTTTATTCATAAACGTTTAAAGAGCAGATTCACTGGAAAACCATTTTTTACTCATTATTTTTAGAAATGACCAGTTACTGCAGGCTGAACATGAAAATAGTCTCCTACACCGATCTCCTGCAGTAGCTGCTGTCAGAAAACAGACGGTGAAACTCTAGGATAGAAAATCCTGACAGATCTACGTCACGCTGTCACTAACATTCATGGACTCACTCATCTGGACTTTCGACGGGGAAGGCTGTTGTTGGTTTAGCGTCCAGGAAACAGCAGAGAACGTCTCAGCTAGTAGAAGCTAACTGTTAGCATTAGCAACCCCACCACACAGCAGAAAACCTCCAGGCTTGTGTTATTTGTGGAGGTGAAACATCAAAGTTGCCGAGCAAACAGAGTCAGTGGTAGTTGTGCTGCTGTTAGCCAATCAGAGGAGAGATGTCCACTTATCAGGAAGTAAGAGATTCTGGTGTTGGACTTCTACATCCTTTAGTTTAGTTTCTTCTCCCCAGAGAACGACTTACAAGGCATTCATTCCTGGTAGAGCCCACTGCAAATGTGTTAAAATAAACTTGATGTTTAAAGGGGTCCTAGAAGAACCTTTTTCACACCCACATCACCCCGCTTCTCCTCCAGCGTCACTGGCTGCCAGTCGCCTTCAGGGTTCATTTCAATATCTGGGTTCTGGTCTATAGGGCCTTACATGGACAAGCACCATCTTACATTGGTGATCTTCTTAGTCCCTACAGCCCCAGCAGGTCCCTGAGGTCCAGTGACCAAAGCCTATTGGTTGTGCAGCACCAGGCTAAAGGTCAAAGGTGACAGATCATCTGCTGCTGTGGCCCTCCAGACTCTGGAACCCTCTCCCCCTGAGCCTGAGATCAGTGAACTCAGTGGTCTCCTTTAAACTCACCTGTTCAGACTTTGGTGGGACCTTCATCACCCTCTCCTTGTTCTGATCTCTCCGGCTTATTTTTTACCTCCTGTGTTAATATTTTTTTGTTTTTATTCAAAATTTTTAATCTTATTTCTTCTTCTCTCGCAGTTATCAGGATCTCTTTTAATCATTTAACATTTTCATTGTTCTCGTATTTTCTTTCTTTAGAGCCGCTCTATAAAAATTCTTCTCCTTGACATCTCTGTGGTGTAAACTCATAATATGGCCTGTTATTGTCATCATAGTTTGTGTGTTTACGTCCTGGAGGTTGGCTGAGACCAGAGGAGAGTCCCGCCGTCTCGATCGCCATTCATCTCAGCAGCTTTGGTTCTGAGATAGAGATCAGAGCGCGGCTAAGTGTTTCCGCTGTTTAATGGTGACCGGGGCAGCCTGGGAGCAGATCAGCCCGTCCCACAGTAGTCAGGTTTTTTCTTTGCGTGTTGTTCCTCCCTTAGCTTGACTTCACTGCAGCAGAAGGAGAGAGAAACAGGAGTGTGAGTGCTAACTTAGCCAATGACGTAGTCGAGACCAGCTTTTCGGACATGTTAGTTATTCCGTCTGTTTCCTTTCTATTGCCAGTGCAAGTGGTGAGGGCTGAAAAGCGTTTTTCACGTTCAGCGTGCGTGTGCAGCTCGAGTGACTGTTTTTAAAAAGAACAATATTACAGGGAACAAGACCTTAAAAATGGAGCCATAAATGATAAAAGCTGTGATGGATAATTAGCTGCTTGTTGCTAACACTTTCTAGCAACGCTAACATGTTGCAACAGTTGTTAATCTAACGGCTGACTCCTCTTAATCCTTTTACTAAAGCCGTACTTTGGAACTTGTAATATTTTTAAATCACTTTCTTGAGCCCGTAGGTGCTAAAATGACCCTTTACAGCGTTAATGAAAGGACATTCAGACCACTACTGCCCCCTGTGGCCAGAATACCACACTTGCAACTTCAGCCTGGCGGGCTGCTCTGTTGGACTTAGAAAAAAAATGGAGCTGACATACCCGGTGCTGCAGTTTGTTCCTGCATGTTTTAGATCACAAACCCAGCAGTTTTTTAAATTTATTTAGTGATGTATCACTCTGTAGACACTAAGGAACACTGGGAGATGTTTCAACTGTTAGATTAATGTGGTAAAAAGACGAACGCACAGCAAGGAGAGAGGTGTTGGTGTCAGTTGGACCACAGAGAATTAATAACCAACACTAGGGGGTGCTAAAAGCAAGCCAAACTGCCATGCGTGCCATAAAATGTGACGACTTAATGAACTTTCTGCATTGACAGAGCATCACACTCATGGCGGCGGTGGAACCTCCGTCAGCGCGCCCCAGCGCAGCTGTGGCTACGATGTAGCTCATCACCACCAGGGTGGGAATGTGTGTGGGTTCTCTGACTCTGAACGGCGCTATACAAGTGCGGGTCTTTTATCATTTAATCCTTCACGATTGTACGTCACCACATTGCCCACCCCTGAGGAGAAATGATCCAAGCATTTTTAGTGTTTCAGATGAAAAGCCCCTCGGTGGATTGATGCTCCTTTTTAGAAATCGGATCATTTTAAACATTTTTCGTCTCACGTCCGCGTTTGCAGAAACTGCAGCTGAGCACAAGATGCTCTTGTTGAAAAGAACAATTTGTCCTGCGGCCCAAATGAGTCCAAGCAAGATTTGAAAATAAGCTTTTGTCATTTCTTAAAGAGCAAGTCACCCCTACTGGATTCATACTCCACTCCCACTTCCTGTTTGAAAAATGCAACAAACGCTGTTGCCTAGCAGACCGAGAGGGCAGAGCCTCTAACAAATACACACACACACAGGCTAACAACGACATTGTGACATCATATGGTACCAGCTAACGTTCTAGGGTACCTCTTAGCCAGTAGCGATGGCAGATTTAAATTCAAATGCAGTGCAGAGTTTTTACCTGACAACGGCACAACACTGACAGTTTTAGGCAGAAAATAAACATTTGAACTAAAATGCACTAAAGTGCAAAACTATTGACTACACGTGTCTGCAGCACAATTAGACACACATTTATATAGTTTCTCAGAAACAAAGGTTGATTTGGGGGTGACTTGCTCTTTAAAAACCATTTTTGTCTTTAAAGTTTCTGCACAATAAGCTGCACACGGCTGCATGAGTCTCCTAGCCGAGAGTCTCATGACAGCGTTTTTCTGTTCTCGGCCCCTCCCACCACCTCCTTTCTGTCTTTCTTCCGGTCGTCAAGCCTTTTTCTGGTGCCGCACATGCGGTAATGTGCAGAAACAGAGAGGGCTTTGTGTGGTGAAACGGGACAGGAGAGAGGGATCGGTGTGTGTGTGTGTGTGTGTGTGTGTGTGTGTGTGTGTGTGTGTGTGCGCGCTGGTGGGGGGGTAATTGGGTTCTAAGTGTTAGCCCGCACTTTTAATGAGCTCTGATGAGCAACAAGCTGACATCCAACTCATTAGTGAGGCCTGAAACACAAAGGCGCGTACAGGACATAGACATGCATACACGTACAAGCAGACACACACACACACACACACACACACAGCTCCC